ATTAGCTCATTAGGTTCTTATGATGCAGGTAATGATGTACATGTTTAGAAGTTGACCTAGCCAAGAGCGGCAAGTCAGATATTTGTTCATATGCCATGCTTCGAGCCATTTTGTGGCCGAGCTAGAAACTCTGATTTCATTTTGTTAGCCGCTCTATTATGGTTTTTGTACAATGTAATTTTGTAACCCATGAATATATATATATATATATATATATATATATATAGAGATATATATATATATATATGTATATGAATGTATATATATCTCTCTCTCTCTCTCTCTCTCTCTCTATCTCTCTATTTATATATACATTTATATATATATATATTTATTTATATATATATATATATATATATATATATATATATATATATATATATATATATATATATATATATATATATATATATATATATATATATATATATATATATATATATATATATATATATATATATATATATATATATATATATATATATATATATATATATATATATATATATATATATATATATATATATATATATATATATATATATATATATATATATATATATACACTTTGAGAAAGTACAAAGTTTGATTTCTTTTCAAAGCATATAACGTATTTTTGTATTAAAACCATAATGTTTAAGTATATATATAAAAGGTTAGCATCCCTAACTTAATGGTGGTGATCCGATTGGATTCAGCTGTTAGGTTGTGGGGCGTTACAAAGGGAGTTTGTGACTTTTATTGCAGTGGCATGCATTACATGAATTAGGCAGAATTGAAGACGACAAATCTAAGTTATAATGAGACGCAAGATGTTTTAGAATACAGAAAGACGGATGACCTAATCTATGATGCCACTCAGACGAAGTGGTTTTGGCATTAGAAAAGGCAATTAGAGGTGGTTTCAGGGATGAGGAAGTGGGCCACTCATACACTCCATCCTTCGTTTGGCCCTTTTGTAGAATTGCCCCCGTGCGAAGTTCCTTCACAAGAAAATGAAATGGTAAGAATTCAATGGATACATTATTAGTGAGGTAGAATTGTGAAATAGATATTAAATTATTTTTCATGCTGGGAACACATAAAACATTAGATAAATTGAACGAAGCGGTCGGGGTAATGAGGGAAGTGGAACCAGTATGTGTTATCGATAGACCCGAGCCATCGCCAATCATAACATCGTATGTGCCTGTGTATGGTGCATGAAGAGATAAGTTGCTCAGGTCGGCAGTGACATGATGAGAGGCACCACTGTCAAGGAGCCACGGTGGAGTTGCAGATGCAGAGGTGGCAGCAAAATGAGCCCTAGGTTGCCATGGTGTTGTAGAACGACCAATCGGAATTTGAGTTGAGGACGATGAGTCATTCGGTACAAGACGAAATGAAGAACATCGTTTGGCAGTATGACCTTGAATACCACAAATTTGACAGTGGCCAAGATATGGTCGTGATAGTGAACGATCACCTTGAGATTGACTTTGACCCGAAGAAGGTCGCCAATTGAAGGAAGGACGTCATTTGGTGTTGGCCGATGGTGGACGCCACCCAGAGGTACGCAGATCTGCATGGGTGCGTTGTGCGGGATTGGCAGTGGCTGGCATATAAGATTGATCGGGTTTCTTCTCTTGCAAATGCGCTTCAAAAGTGAGTAGTTTTTCATGAAGCTCATCAAATGTGATCGGTGTGTCACGAGCGTTGACAGCATTGACAAGATCTTTGTAATCATTGCCGAGACCGTCAAGATTTTTTCCACTAGATCATCATCATCCATAGGGACACCCAATAACGCAAGTTCATCTGCACGAGCTTTGACAGATTGTAGAAATTCTGTTATGCTTTGAGCGCCTTTAGTAGGGTTTTTGAGGTGGCTTTTAACTTTTTTGATCCGCCCTCGAGATGCTTTGGCATAAGTATTAGCGAGAATAGTCCAAGCTTCACGAGATGTTGTTGCACGGGCAATGAAAGGAATGATGGTAGGAGAAAGTGAGCCAATAATAGCGTTGAGTATAAGTTGATCCTGACGAATCCAAAAGGTATGAGCAGGGTTCGGTTGTGTTGTTTGGTTTGTAGTGATGGTAGCGGGTGGGCAAGGTTTGGTTCCATCAATATAACCAATGAGATCATAACCAAGAAAAAGGGTTTGAAATTGGAATTTCCATGAGGTGTAATTAGTAGAGGAAAGTTTAAGAGGGGCCTGAGCAAATACATTGATGGTAATAAGTGTTTGGCTTGTATCAATAGTGGTAGTTGGAGGAGTAGCAGTATTGGCCATGGTGTAATTTGAGGTGTAGAGATATTAGAAGAATGAGAGAGAGGGGTTTGTAAAAAAAATGTTGCTCTGTATACCATGTAGAAGATAATAATATGAATAATGTTTTTCATATTTTTCATTAACCAACACTACATTCTTATATATACATACATGCATGATAAAAAAGGATCAAGCAAATATTCTTTAATAAATGTATATAAAATCAAATCAAATATCCTATATTTACAATTAAATCAAATATTGCATATAATCAAATCAAATATCTTTGGGATTATCTCTAATAGTTGTTGGGAGAAGAAGAAGAGATTGGATTTTGTGGCTGACCATCCTTTCCTATTTGTTATAAGAGAATATGTGGGTGGTGTGCTGCTTTTCGTTGGCCAACTACTTATTCCTCTTGACGGTTAATATGAGTTGAAGGAGAAGCTTGAGACGTGTTAATTTAATAACCCTAAAATAATTAACCTTAATATCTACCTTATTTTTTAATTTTTTAAATCATTTTTCAAGTAATTAAATGTATATCAATTTCAATATATTTATTTAAGGGGTTTGTATGCATAAGTTTATTATTCTAGGTTCAGGGGCTATATCTCTTTCACCAATAAGTTGATCCTTTTAATATTTATTATAAATAAATGAAACATTCATGTATATCCCAATATTAGCCTCAACCATTTATACCTAATTTTTAATTTTAACCCCAATTTAATCAATTTTGTCCACAAGAATCCAATTTTGTCACAAAAATTCAATTTTGACTTTTTTTGGAGCATACTTTAATATGCTCCAATTTCATCCTTAACTAAATTTAATCTCAATTTGACCCGAAATTTCACAAATTACTCAATTTTGACCCAAAACCTTTTTTTTTTCAAATTTTGTTTTTTTTTCAAAAAAAAAAAAATTGCCGCCGGTTTCCGGCGTTGAACGCCGGTCTCCGGCGGTGACTTTTCAATTTTTCTTTTCTTTTTTTTTTCTTCTTTCTTTCGGATTTTTTCGCCGGTTTCCGGCGTTGACTTTTTTTTTTTTCTTTTCTTTTCTTCCGGATTTTTAGCCGGTTTTCGGCGTTGATTTTTTTTAGTGTTTTTTTAAGTTTTTTCTTTTTGTTGTTTTCTTTTTTACGTCCGCCGCTAAACGTTGACCGTAATTGTGCTGCCACTGATAGTAAATTAAGGTAATTATACTGTCAATGACAGTTAATTAACGTAATTGTACTGCCGTTGACAATACATTTATGTAATTGTTCTATCGTTGACAGTAAATTAACGTAATATTATTATTTTTTATTTTTTGTTATTTTTTTAATTTTGTTTGATTTGTTGACAAGTCAACGTAATTATATTACTGTCGTTGACAGTAAAATAACTGTAAACACAATAATATTACTGTCAACAACATCAATATTATTATTTTTTTGGGTTTTTTTGTTTTGTTTGAGTTATTCACGGAGTAACGTAATAATATTACTGTCTATTATTGTATTATTACTGTAAACACAATAATATTACTGTGGTTAACGGTAATATTACTGTTGTTATAGTAATATTGCTGTCAACCACATCAATATTATTATTTTGTTTGGAATTTTTTGTTTGTTTGAGTTATTCACGGAGTAACGTAATAATATTACTGTCTATTATTGTAAAATTAGTGTGGTTGACGGTAATATTAATGTTGTTATAGCAATATTACTGTCACTCACAGTAATATTAACTATTTTGGCTTTTTATTATGTTTACATTTGTTGAACGGTCAACATAGTAATATTACTTTATTACACAATAATAATGAGTTTTGTTGTGCTAATATTACTGTGCTAGAGATTAATATAGCAATATTATTGTGTTAAACTATAGTGTAGTTAATTTTACTGTGTTTAACAGTAGTATAGTTAATATTACTGTCAATCACAACAATATTGTTGTTTAAACGGAAAAAAAAATAAGTTACAGAAAGAAAGAAAAGAAGAAAAAAAAATAATCAAAAAAGTCAACGCCGGAATCCGGCAAAAAAATCCAAAAAAAAAATTGAAAAGTCAACGTCGGAGACCGGCGTTGACCGTCGCCGGTCAGTGCCGGAATCCGGCGGAAATTTTTTTTTTGAAAAACAAATTTTTTTTGAAAAAAAAAATTTGGGTCAAAATTGAATAATGTGTGAAATTTGGGGTCAAATTGAAGTTAAATTAAGTTAAGGATGAAATTGGATCATATTAAAGTCTGAGGGGTTATTTTAGTCCTTTACAAAAATCTGGACCATGTGTGGACTTATTGGTAAAGGTGTTTTTTGTCTGGATCTCTTTATGAATAAGTACCCATTAATGAGCTTATTTGTAAAGACCCTTTTATTTAATTACTACTCTATATGTTCCATAATAATTGTTGCTTTAAACAAATATTTTTATGTCATATTAACGATCACTTTACAATTCCAGTATTGTATTAACTATTAATTACATATTTCCAATCTCCATGCATTAATTACTAAATAAGAATATTTTGGTCTAACACTATCTATTTTCTTAAAATCAAAATGCATTTACTAAGATTCTTAAGACTTATGCAAATGTGAAAAAAAAAATTAGGAAAAACCTCATCTAAACATTAAATAATAGAGTCTAGGCCCAAATTATTTTTCCGGCCTATATTAGAAAATCCAAACATGACATTTTAGTTACATGGACCAAATTACTTTTCGGTCTTTACCAAGTGGAATATCATTGTATTAAAAATACAACCAAACTACAGGGGTTTAAATGCAATTTACCCATAATACAATTAGTGATACTTCTTATTTCACACGACTTTTTTTTCAGTGGACCAATTCTTTCTCCACAATTGTTAACTGTGTCCTAGTCATTCTTCTTTAATACTAAAAACAAAAGTTAATATATTTGCCCAAAGTCCTTTTAAATACCAGATCAAATATTTCATCTCCATCATAATAGACATATGAAAAATGGAACTCCACAGAGAATCCATCCTAAACCAGACCTATGTTTCCTTCTCACTGGCAAAGCAACTCATCTCCACCGATTACAAGGACAAAAACGTAATTTTCTCGCCTTTGTCGATCCACATCTTGTTGGGCATGATTGCATCCGGGTCGAAAGGCCCAACCCGAGATCAGATGCTGGGCTTTTTTAAGTCCAATTCCATTCAAGAACTGAACTCGCTCTTGGCGCACCACGTGACCAAGGTGTTCGCCGATGGTGAGCCGCTTGGTGGGCCCTGTTTGTCCTTGGTCAACGGCGTTTGGGTTGACCAGAGTCTCAGCTTTAAGCCCCATTACAAAGAAATTATCCAGAATGGTTACAGGGCTGCTGCTTATCGTGTTGATTTTCTGACTAAGGTTAGTTTTTTTGTTCTTTTAGTTAGTCCACGTATAGACAAAGGTTAGTTTTTTTGTTCTTCTAGTTAGTCCACGTATTTGTCTATGCCTCTATTATATATATTTGGGTTAATTACATTTTGCCACCTGTACTTTGCTTGTTTTTCCACTTTGCCCCTAAACTAAAAACTTTCATATGGGCACACCCAAAACTACTTTTTTGACGCACATAACACCTATGGCGAATATTCCGACGAATCTTTTCACTTACCAGCGCACGCACATGCTTAATGTAAGCTCTTTGTGGTCTTTACTCTTTTCAACTCAAATAATTTGTGGGCCCTGTTTTTTTCTCTTCTTCTCCTTCTCTCTCGCACACGCACACACATACAGACATTCCCACGTCATCATCTTCTTCTTCTCTTCCTCATTTCATGCATTTTTTGTTTGTATTTCATGCATTTTTTCTTGATCGTCTTGATTACAAGAAGAATATCTCATGGCTTTTTATCTTTTCCTTCTCTAGCTATTTGCTTCGTCTCTTGAATGGGTTTTGTAGTTCTTTTCAATATTTTGTTTGGATTTTGAGTTTTCTGCATTTTTACATATACACAAAATTGAGGGGTAAAAATGTCCGAAAAGTGAAACTTTGAACAAATCATATAAATGAGAATCCCAATATCCCACATCATCATCCACTAATAGATTGTAAAATGTAAACAAAATGACAACTTTGTTACATTTTGTAGTTCAAGGGTATTTTGTACGACCACATAGTTTAGGGGTGTAAATCTAATATAGCTGGGATACGTAAAAATCAACTGTGGATTTGTAAAGTGCCTTTCATTGACAAAATTGATAACCGTAAGTATAGCTTTTCAAAGTTTACGTGTGTTGCAGTTTTATTTTAATTATTGTATTTCTTATCTTGATGTTTTTTGAAGGCTGCTGAGGTAATAGAAGAAGTGAATAAATGGGTTGAGAACGAAACAAATGGCCTCATCGAAGAAATATTGCCACCTGATTCAGTTGATGCTAGCACTAGGCTTATCCTTGCTAATGCAGTGTATTTTAAAGGAATGTGGGAGGAACAATTTGATTCGTCGGTAACTAAAGACGATGATTTTTTCATCTTAAACGGAAGCTCAATTAAAGTACCTTTCATGACAAGTTGGGAGAGGCAATATATCCGTTATTTTGAGGGTTTTAAGGTTTTAAGGCTGCCGTATAAACAAGGTGAAGATAAACGCAAATTCTCAATGTATATATTTCTTCCAGATGCAAAAGATGGACTACCATCCTTGATAGAAAAAGCCGGCTCTGAATCTGGATTTATCGAGAAACACCTCCCTCTCTGGGACGTCAAAGTTGGTAATTTCCGAATTCCAAAGTTTAAGATAGAATTCGAATTTCGAGCGGGAGAAGTTCTGAGGGAGCTCGGAATGGTGCTTCCTTTTTCTTGCGGTGATTTTACTGAAATGGTGTACTCAACTATAACCACCCCGACGGAGAAATTGTTCGTCTCAGAAATTTTCCACAAGGCGTTCGTTGAAGTGAACGAGGAAGGCACGAAAGCTGCAGCAGTTTCGGTTGGTGTATTTCAACTTCAATGTTTGAGAATTGAGACGAAATTTGATTTTGTGGCTGATCATCCTTTCATGTTTGTTATAAGAGAAGATATGAGTGGGATGGTTCTCTTCGTTGGGCAGCTACTTGAACCCTCCACTACTTAATTATCGGCACATGTTAATTTTGTGACATCTTTTGGTTTTGTGGTTGGAATTGATAAAAATATTGAGTGATTAATATATTTTCGTCGATATGATTGTGTAATATAATATGTGTGTCATGTGTACATTTTTTTTTGATTGATTTGAGTAATAACTGGACGGAGAATCCTCTATCTTGTATGGATGATGTAAGATGTTTCACTGTGAAAATGTCGAAAACACCCTTCTCATTCTGTTGGTTTTAGTTTTTAAAAACTGTTTATTTGCCCAATTTTGGTTGGAATAATTTCTTTAGGACAAACTCCATGTAATTATATTCTACTACAATAGGATAACAATTAATTGTAAGCACAAGTCGTAGCAATGGTTGCTTGCTGCAGAAAGTTAACTGAAACAACTAAATCTTGTCCATATATAAGATAAGAAGAAAGTCCTTAATAACATCATATGAAATGTCGTCAATAATTACCCACATAAGAAGAAATAGAATTCAAAAATAGATTAATACGAACTTACGTACATGGTAGATCTGTAAACAATACTTTCTTCTTATTAGCGTATATATTATATATATTACGTATATTATTATTATTCTTATTTATTATAGTTACCTTGTATAATAGCTTACCTTGTGTAGTAGGTTAGGGTTTCCTACATGTAAATATATATATGATTAATATACGTGAGATATATTATTCTCTCTTTTCCTCCAAATCTATTTCTCCTATATGGTAAGGTTAACCTAGCCGTCACCACCCCTTCTTCTCCATAGCCGTCGCCCCCCCTTCTTCTCAATGGCCGGCGACGCTTCTTCTCCCTCCACCGCCTCTCTCAATCCTTTTCACCTTGCTCATGCCATCTCTAATATCAAATCTCTTATCCCCGTTACTCTAGATCTGAAAAATCCCAATTATCAAAAGTGGAGCCACTTTTCCACAATTACCGTCGGTCGTTTCTGCCTCTCCGATCTTCTACATGGAAAACCCCGACCGAATTCGATTTCCGCCGATGAATGGCAGCGCGCCGACTATCTCCTCCAATCTTGGATATACGGCACCATCTCCGATGATTTGTCCAGTATGGTTCTCTCAAAAACCTCCACCGCCAGTGATCTATGGACCGCCATCTCTTCTCTCTTCACCGATAACAAAGATTATCGAGCCATTCAACTTGAAGAAAAATTCAAGTCCCTCAAGAAAGGCACTCTCTCCATTCATGATTATTGCCAAATAATCAAAACCACGGCGGACAACTTGGCCGATGTCGGAAATCCAATCTCCGACAAACAACTCGTCTTATAAACCCTACACGACCTTCCGAAAAATTACGGGACCGTCGCCAACCTCATCTTCTTTCAGAATCCCCTTCCCACCTTTCTACAGACTCGATCGCTTCTTCAGATGGAAGAAACAAGAATTGCTGAACCGGAGCAGACCGCTGCTGTTTTCTACACTTCCAACGCGAACTGTCCTGCAACAGTTCCCGCGGAGGTAGTTCTTCGCGCTATCAGCGCGAGGGTGGCCGATCCAACTGTCGCGGAGGTCGCAACACTAACCGTCACCCCATGCAGCACTACGGCTACCATAGTGCTCATGGCGCATCTCAACTCTGGCGCGCACCATACCGACAACCGTCAATTCTGGGATCCGCTCCAAATACATCGGGCCACCCATCCACTCCAGCGGCTCAAGCCTACTTTACAGGACCACCTGAACCCTACACCGGCCACTCGGCTCCTACTCAGGTTCATCCGCACCAGTGTTAAGTTTATATTTTTACACTTTATCGTACATTTTTATTTGAGTTTTTGGTGTGTTTTAACAATAATTGGTGCATAAAAAGTTGATTTATTGTATTTTAGGTACAAATTGAAAATTGGAAAAGTATGGGGTCAAAACTGCAATTTTAGAGAAAATATGGGCCAAAAGTGAAAAAATCAAAAAATTGAAGATATATAGCATGGGACGGCCGTCCCAGATTTACACTTAAAACTGGGACGGCCGTCGGAGAAGCAGAAACAACCTCTTGTTTTGGGACGGTCGTCCGAGTTTTAGTACAAAATGCGGGACGACCGTCCGAGATGACGAAAAGGCGCAGTAAAGGAATCCTAATTGCACAAGAAAACTACCTTCTTCTCCATGTTTTCCACCCTATATAAGACCAAGACAAGCACACAATTGGGGATCGATCTTTTACGCAATTTTCAAGAGCAACAAAACAATAACGAAGACGAAGAATTCGAAGACTCCAAGCATAGACTTATCGTTTATGATTAATTTTATTTGCGTTTTTCCTTTAATCATGAGTAGCTAATTTTCTTATTTTTAGGATTTTATTTGGAACCCTATGTGGGATTTATGAACCCAATTCTATGATTTTATGCAAGTTTTAATTCCAGATTATTTCTCCTACTTGTTTTATTAAGTGCATGAATTTGATCACCTTATGTGCTTTTATGTTATTGTTAATCGCATGAATCGGAAGATCGGGTTAATAATTAGAACTGTGGTAGAAGAGCCTTTGTGGTATTAACATAGGAATATAGTTAATCTCTTAGGTAGCCATTATTGAGATTTGTGCTTAATGATGTGTTCTAGAATTAATTGCATAGGAATATAGTAATTAAATCTAGAGTATTAGAATCGTAATACACGCGGAAGCGGGTTATGATTATTTTAGCATCTCAGGTTAATAATCCGGGTTAATTGCTTGCAAAATTGAAGGAATTGGGGGAGTAATAATCACATAGGGGGGAGAATAAAATCTTAGGCTTGTTTACTCTGATTAAACCTTCGTTTTTAATTGCTTTCGTGCTCTTGTTTTTTTAATTTGCTTTTTAATTTAGCTATTTCTCTCAAAATTCGACTGTGTAGGGTGGGCTTGATAATAATTGGTAGGATTTAGCATCTAGGATTAAATAATTAAATATTCTCGGTGGGTTCGATATCCAGACTTTTAGTCCACTATATTACTTGTACGATACGTGCACTTGCGTGTAGGTTATCAACCAACAAGTTTTTGGCGCCGTTGCCGGGGAGTATTTTAATTATTTATTTTATTCTAGCTCTAGATTTGAACAATTTTCACGATTCACCCATTTAATTTTTGTTTTATTTTACTTTTCTTTTTAGGTACTGTATGCGCAGGAGACTCGATCTTGCTAGAGAACCGTTTGATCCCGAAATCGAACGTACTTTTCGAGCCGCTAGGAGACTACAACGCAAAAACAATATAATGGAGGACGAATAACGCAGGGCAGCGGGCAATTTACTCAATGCCAACGGAAACCAAATCCAAGACCCACCCCCTCAACTCTCATTACAGCCAGCAGCTAGGCCACGGGCATTTCAAGACTACATAATCCCCACTCTCGACGGGTTCCGGCCGAGCATCCAATATCCACCTATTGAGGCGCAAAATTTTGAGATCAATCAAGGTCTATTGACGATGCTCCAAAATAACAGGCTATTTAGTGGATTGGCGGGTGAAGATCCCCATCTTCACATTGTCAATTTTCTAGATACCTGTAATTCCCAACGTCAAAACGGCGTTTCTCAAGAGGCGCTTCAATTAATTCTCTTCAAACACTCCTTACAAGGAAGAGCTCGCCAGTGGTTGATGTCCCAAGCCCCCCACTCTATCTCGTCGTGGTCTCAACTCCTCAACCTTTTCATGAAAGTTTATAGCTCACCCGAGAAGGACGAGAGAATCCGACGAGAAATTCATAATTTCGTCCAAGAGCAAGGTGAGCAATTATACGAGGCATGTGAGAGATTTAAAAATCTTTTGCGGCAGTGTCCAACACATGGAGTCCAACAATGGCGGCAAATCAACATCTTCTACCAAGGGATTAACGAGAATGCACGAACCGTCTTAGATGCATCAACCGGGGGAAATTTCATGAGTCAATCGATACCGGATGCATTTATCATGTTGGATCAAATTGCACAAAATCGGTTTGCCAAGTCAAGCGAGAGGACGATTAGTGGAGCCTCTCATATGGACAGCGGGGCGACCTCTCATATGGCACCACACTCAGGTAATTTCAATTTTGTTTTTAATCCTGGCAGTAATTTCCCAAAACATGTCGTCGTCGGTAATGGTTCCACCCTCCCCATAACCGACATAGGCCACACAATTCTTCTCACTACTCCTTTCCGCCTCACAAATGTCTATGTCACACCCAATATCGTCAAACACCTTATCTTTGTTCGAAAGTTCACCCGCGACAACTCATGTTCGGTTGAATTTGACCCGCAAGTCGAGTCGAGATTTTCAGGTGCAATAGCCCCACCTCGCCTCCCACTGCTTTCCTCACTGTCGCAACACCTTCGTCTCGCACTCTTTGGCATCGGCGTCTAGGCCATCCCGGTAAACACGTCATGTCCCGTTTATTTTCAAGCACTTTTCTTTCCCATAATAAAGACCCTATGGAGTCTCTTTGTAATGCCTGTCAATTAGGCAAACATTTTCGTCTACCATTTTTTTCTCAAAAATCTACTACTGTTGCTCCATTTCAAATTATTCATGCTGATTTATGGACTTCTCCTGTTTCTAGTCTTACGAGTTTCAAATATTATCTTGCGTTAGTTGATGATTTTACCTATTATTTATGGACTTTTCCTCTTCGAAATAAATCTGACGTTTTTACAACCTTTGTCAATTTTCATACACTTCTCAAAACTCAATTCCAACATCCCTTGAAAGCCTTACAAAGTGATAATGGTCGTGAATTCAAAAATGCGGATTTTCAAAACTACTTCACTAAACACGGCATCCTAAATCGTTTGTCGTGTCCCCACACCTCCCCTCAAAACGGACATGCATAACGAATGATCCGCACTATAACTAACATGATTCGATCCCTCATCTTTCAAGCTCATCTTCCTCCTACTTATTGGGTCGAAGCCCTTCATATGGCCACACACCTACTCAATATCTTACCTACCAAAACAACACAAAACCGGACTCCTCACGAAACTCTTTACCTCATCAAACCTACATACTCTCATCTTCGAGTATTCGGCTGTCTCTGTTATCCCAACCTCACTGCCACCACACCACATAAACTCACCCCCCCCCCCGTTCTACTCCTTGTGTCTATCTCGGTCACCTTTCCTCTCACAAAGGCTATCGTTGCCTTGATAGATCCACTGGCCGAGTCATAATTTCTCGTCATGTTACCTTCGACGAAACTCACTTTTCTTTTGCTGAGTCAACTCCCCCCAGAAACACACTTCATACCTCTGCCTTGGACGAAAACACACCCTCCCTGTTCCTCCTTCCTCAGACTTCGTCTGACTATTGCAACAGTTCCTCCAACTGTTCCAACAGTGAACCACCCTGTTCCAATAGTTCGTCCAATAGTTCGTCCAACAGTCCTATAACACAACCAACACCTGTTTCACCTGCAGCACCACCTCTCGACCACGACGAGCTCACAACCCCTTCTCCTACTTCCACATCTCCTTCTCCTACTCCCACACCTCCCCCCACTTCCCCCTGCTCACCCTATGGTGACTCGCAGTAAAGCGGGCATCCACAAACCCAAAGTCCCTTTCTCTCTCGTTGCGTCCTCTACCTCTTCCATTCCCACCAACTATCGCCAAGCTCTTCTTGATCAAAATTGGCGAAACACCATGATTGAGGAATATACTGCTTTAATTAAAAACAATACTTGGAATGTTGTGCCCCGCCCCCGTTCACTAATGTTATTTCTGGTAAGTGGATATACAAACAGAAACTCAAGTCTGATGGCTCCCTTGAGCGATACAAAGCACGGTGGGTTGTTCGTGGGTTTCACCAGCAGGCTGGCATCGATTTTGACAAGACTTTTAGCCCAGTTGTCAAACAAGCCACTGTTCGAACAGTTCTCAGTATTGCTCTCTCGCGATCATGGCCAATCCACCAGATTGATGTGAAAAATGCCTTCTTACATGGCAATCTCTCTGAAACTGTCTACTGCGAGCAACCTCCCGGATTCGTCGATCTATCTCGCCCCACTCACGTGTGTCGTCTCAACTAAGCACTCTACGGTCTCAAGCAGGCACCACGTGCTTGGTACAAGCGTTTTGCATCTCACATTACTACCATGGGGTTCAGAGAATGCAAGTCTGACACTTCACTCTTTGTGTACTGTCGCAACAGTTCACGCGACTGTCGCAACAGTTCACGCGACTGTCGCAACAGTTCATGCGCCTACCTTCTGCTGTATGTCGATGACATTGTACTTACGGCCTCCACACCTGAATTGCTCCGCTCTATCATCGATGCCCTTAATCAAGAGTTCGCAATGAAGGATCTTGGTGATCTTCACTACTTTCTCGGAATCTCAGTTACTCGCTCGTCGAATGAGCTATTTCTCTCTCAACGCAAGTACGCCGACGAGATACTGGAGCGTGCACACATGGCTTCCTGCAACCCTTGTCTTACGCCGGCTGGCACAAAGAGCAAGTTGTGATCGACCACTGGACCCCCCGTTGCTGACCCTACTCTTTATCGCAGCCTTGCCGGTGCACTGCAATACCTCACGTTTACTCGTCCCGACATATGCTATGTTGTGCAACAAATATGTCTATTCATGCATGATCCGAAGGAACCTCATATGGTTGCTCTCAAGCATATCCTTCGCTACATTCGTGGCACTCTCGATCACGGCCTTCAGCACTCCCCCAATCCGGACCTCTCCCTTATCGCTTACTCCGACGCCGATTGGGGTGGCTGCCCTGACACTCGTCGTTCGACATCGGGCTATTGTGTTTTCCTCGGCAACAACCTCATCTCTTGGTCCTCCAAACGACAGGTCACTACTTCTCGATCGAGTGCGGAGGCCGAATGTCGAGCTGTCGCAAATGCCGTCGCCGAAACGACTTGGTTACGCAACCTACTTTCTGAGTTGCTCTGCCCACTTTCGAAAGCCACTATTGTCTACTGTGACAACGTCAGTGCTGTCTACCTATCCAGCAATCCTATTCAACACTCTCGTACGAAACATGTGGAGATCGATATCCACTTTGTCCGAGACAAAGTTGCTTTGGGACACGTTCGAGTTCTTCACGTCCCATCCGCCTACCAGTTTGCCGATATCTTCACGAGAGGACTCTCTACTCAACTGTTCCAATAGTTTTTATCCAGTCTCCACGTCCTCTCCTTTCCCGTTTCGACTGCGGGGGTGTATTAGCGTATATATTATATATATTACGTATATTATTATTATTCTTATTTATTATAGTTACCTTGTATAATAGGTTACCTTGTGTAGTAGGTTAGGGTTTCATACATGTACCTATATATATGATTAATATACGTGAGAGATATTATTCTCTTTTTTCCTCCAAATCTATTTCTCCTATACTTCTGTTCATCGGGTTCTCTGATTTAGCTTTCACAATAAAAATTTAAAGAAACGACGCATAAATAAAAATAAGCACACCAATATCAAAAATCCAACAAACAGAAAATTACTCTCAAATTTCATAGGTATATTCTACATGTTTATACACGTGTACTTGACTTTCTTATCTTAGAATATTTCTGGGCAACTTACGTTTTTCAAATATCATCAAGTGGAGATATTACAATGATGGTGGAATCCAAGTATCCAACACAATGCAAGTGAGAAAATTTTAAGGTTTTGTTTGGAAATTATGTATCTTTTTCACCTTTTTTTTATTATTTAGTTTATATCTTTTTTCACTTTTTGTTTTTAAAATTAAAAATTATTATTAAAAACTTATTAGATGTAAAATTCAACAGCCAGTTTAAAAGAAATGGACAATGTACTTTGTAAAACAAAGATAGAGGGTTTTAACCTTTTTTTTTTAAGATGCGAATTTATTTGACAATTTGAAATTACACAGAGAGTTTTGTGCGATTAACTCGATCTTAAAATTGTTAATATTAAAAAGGATATGATCAAAAATCCAACAAACAGAAAAGTACTCTCAAATTTCATAGGTATATCCTACATGTTTATACACGTGTACTTGACTTTCTTAGTTGATTAGAATTGACAACCTTGCGTAGGCTGGATAAAAATCATAATTGTCAAAATTTGGTACTTAAGATTAGGTAATTTGAGTATTCCTTGTGGGATCGACATCCGACTCTCACGATTCCACTTTTACTACTTGTTTGCGATACGTGCACTTAGACATGGCCACGGGGCGGGTCGGGTCCGGGTCCGGGTCCGGGTCCGCCCGGGGCGCTCCGTGTCGGGGTCGGGTCCGGGTCCACCCATTTTTCAATTATTATTATTTTCTTTTTTATTTTTTTACAACAAAGAATAAAAAAACTTATATTGAAACTTGAAAAAACATAAGATTAACTTTAAATTCAAAATTAAAAAAATAATTGAATATAAACATTAAACAATTTTAGAAAAAAAATGAAAGATTAGCACTTTGAGACATAAACTAAATAAAATGAAAGTTGTGAAGATTGAATTATGGGTATTTATAAGTGAAAGTAATAATTGAGAAATTTTTCAAAATTTCAAAATTCAAAAAATATCAAAATTGAATCTTTCTTTTAAATTAAATCATATTTTTTTATATTTTTGAAAATTAAATATACATGCATTTGTTATTAGTCGAGATTTTTTATATTAATAATAGTCAACATGACAATTAATAATTTATAAAACATTTGTTATACAATTATTATAATCATTTTACAATGTTATTTATATTTATATATTTATAATTAGGATCATTAATAACAAGGAATATATATATAACATAAACAAAAGGTGTAAAATGATTACAATAAATAATGTTAAATAGATTATTAATTATCATATTCATTATTATTAAATAATTTTAATTAAATTATTAACAAATATAATATAATAAAAAAAATAAAAAAAATTGAAAGGACTTGTGCTTAATTCATTTAAATCTTACGATTCGATTCTAATATTTGAATAAAATGTAAATGTAAAAAAAAATGATAAAATCATATGACCTACGATTTAATTCTTACGATTTTTACAAATTAAACCAATTATTAAAAGCGAAATCACATCATAATATTTTGATTGTACTCGTCATATATAGTTTTATTTTTAAAGTAATGAAATTTATTAGAATGCGATATAATCTATTTTTGTTAAAATAAACATCATCTATATTTTTAAATAATTATCTTATGATAAAATAATCAATAATTTTAATAAGTTCTTGTCAACAATTGAGGTAAATCAATTTAAATTAATTGAAATAAGTTATAATTTAATTTTTTAAATAAACATCTTATTTTATGTTTCCTTCAAAATTTTAACACTATCAATTTTAATAACATAAGTGAGTTTGTATTAAGTCAACACGTTTGTTTATATATTGAATTGATTCAATACTTTATATTTTTCAATAGTGGAGATTATATTGATATAGTAATTAATAATAGATGTTTTGAAGTATTGAACCGTGATTCTTCATATATTTTGAAAAGTTTCTTATATTGCATTTGTTAATAATTAAATTAAAATTATTTAATAATAATTAATATGAAATTAATAATTTATTTAACATATTTATCATTTTACACTAGCGTTTTATATTATATATATTTAATGTGTAGAGTTGTCCAAATTCGGCCCATTTACCCGAGTTCGAATCCCCCTAACCCCAATTCTTGGACAAAAAAAACCTGAAATCCGAGTTGATCCGACAGGTCCTCGGCTCATGGTCCTCGGGCCCCCCCCGCTAGGTAGACCTGTCGGTGCACTTGCGTGTTAGGTATTTAGTCCAACAATATGATCTTTTAATATAGGGTATTACAACCACGCCAAATTATGAAAAAAAAACCCTCATGTTTGGATAATTACAATTACCCCAAGTATGAAACTTCTTACACGTCCACCCACCCTTGTCGTATCAAATTCAACATAATCTTCTAAATTTCGTGGAATGTTATCTAATTTGTACACATTTTGTGCAAAAATGCATTTTTTGATGCACCACAATCTAATACATACAAGCAAAAAGATACATCTTATGGTCAATTCCTTTTCGTCAAAGCTCGTGACTCACGTGCTGTCCGAAGGTGGGCCGCTTGGCGGGCACAGTTTGTCCGCTGCCAACGGGGTTTGGGTTGATCAGAGTCACCGCTTCAAGCCCACTTTCAGAGAAATTATCCATAATTCTTACAAGGCTGCTTTCAATCATGTTGATTTTCAATCTAAGGTTAGTTCCTTTAACCCGTACGTTTGTTGTTTCTTTTGAGTTCATAAGCTTTTGAATTTTAGTTTTCACATCATTTGCAATTTTAGATATGCAAATTTCATTCGGTTACATGTTGTGGGGAGGAGTATTTATGTAATTAGGTGCAATGATAAACTTTACTAGTTGTTTTTCTTAGTAAATATACTGACAACAATTTGTATACTAATATTATCAGTGTTCTAAAAATCGATTGAGGCGGCCGATTAATCGGTCTGCAAGGTGGAGGCAGTCTAAAATCTTTATGAGTTTAGTGTAAATGTTTGAAAAATCGTTATTGGTTGTGAAGCGGTCTGAGGGAGGTTGAGGCGGTCAAACTTTGGAGGCGGGTCAAACTTTGTTGGCATAATTCGGGAGAATACACTTTTTGTCCCTCATGGTTGGCCCGATTCCACTTTTGGTCCCTGTTGTTCAAAAGTGAACAAAGTTCACCTACAAGGTTCAATTTTAAACATTTTTTGTTCCCGCCGTTACATGTCGGTTTACATGTAACGGAAAAGACTATTTTGGGGCCAAAATTGAAATTTTAAATCTTTTTGGGGCTGGAAAATAATAGAAATTTAAAATATACTACTTATAATTAAAAGTGGAAAAGTGGATAAAAGAAACGCACGTCTGCAGGTAGAATTCACATTTTTTGGGATATTACATGGAATAAAAAAGATTCCGTAAAAAATTACACCATAAGGGGGTCGTGTATGCATAAATAATGGTATTGCTAGTGCATTTGGATGTATTGAAAGAAAGTACTGGAAGTACTGGTAGTGGAACTTTATAATACGTTGTATTTGTTATAATTGTACTTATGTGTATGTAATTGCAGGAATTGATGTAAAAGAAGATAGCACCAAGCTAGCAATATGTTGCAGGTGCTCACCGAGCGCTTTTCAAGGAACTATGGAAGGTGTAAAGAAGCTGATGAAGAAACAATATAATGAAGAACTGAAGAAAAATCTCTTCTATCACTACATGGACATATATGCCTAAAATAAACCACATCTTGCAGAGGATTGCGACTCTCATGCAAGCGTACAATGTAAAAGATCGGGTCTTCTGGTTAACAATACTATTGGTTAGCTCTACTCGTACTTTTACATTGAATACATCGTATTATATGTTTCGATGAATTCTTATCTTTTGAACACTTCTTTTGCGATGAATTGAGTTTGTATTAATAATATAAGTGTACCATAGTAATGAACAACAAATACTTTCTAGTGTATTCAAAGATACTTTGTCAATACTAGACATGTGCTTCACATGTGTATTCACTGTACTTACTTGAGAAACAAAGCGTACTATATTTTGTGATGAATTGAGTTGTACCAATTTCATTGACACTTTAATGATAAATAATTGTGGGAGATGCATAAATTATGTTTTGGATGAGTATTTTAAGGTAGGTGAGCATTATTGTTGCGTTTGGAGTACAAGATGCCATAAATATATTGAATTTTCAAACATGATACTCATATGAATATACAAAATACTCATATAAGTGTATAATGCTCGTGCGTAAAACTAATATTTTCCTCAAATGTTACTATAATCTATGTTGATCGACTCCCACATTGTCTCATTTCATTTTTAATAGCCTTAGAATGAAGAATTGTATCTTAAAATGCGGTTATATGGATGTATTGGCCCCACAATAATATATACAATGTAACAATACAATATGAATGACAAACATTATACTTTGTGAATGAACAAAGCGCACTACAAGAGGTCATATATATTAGAAAACCCAAACATGACATTTTATTTTGACGGATCAAATTACTTTTCCGTCTTTACCAAGTGGAATATCATAAAGGGAATATGAGCTTATATTAAAAATATAAGAGAGCATATGTATAAAGTTCAAACCACAGGGGTTTAAGTTCAATTTACCGGTAATACAATTAGTGATAGTTCTTTTAAACATTGTATATTTCACACGACTTTTCTTCAGTGGACCAATTCTCTCCACAATTGTCAACTGTGTCCCAATTAGTGATAGTTCTTTTAAATATATTATGTTGCAAATTTTGTTATATTATGGGATTTTTTACCAATCAATCAAGATTTTCTACTTGATATACCTGTAATTTGATCTTAATATAAAAAAAAATGTGAAACATGTACAAAATTAAACTACTCGAGCTCTCAATTAACATTCATCTCTATTAAAGCTCATTTGAGCTTCATTTGGTTGTTATGAAACATACAAGCTCAAATAAAACTTTGCTAACCAAATAAAAATTCAATAAATTTGAAAGAACAAGCATTTAACTCGACATAATTTGTTCACACGTAAATTTATATATAAAGAAACTCATTATGAAAAGAATCACGCCATCTATATACGTAACGTTATTAATTAAAGATCCAAAGAAGGTCAAAACGTTCGCTTTCTAGACTTTTAATTTTTATTTATTTGTTATAATGTAAGTAAGTGCATATGTGTGGTTTGTATAATAAAAAATAAGCTTTCTAGAGGGAAAATGTAGAATAAAAAAAAAAAAAAAAGAAATCGTGTTTGTGCTTCCCATGAAAAAGAAAGAAATGGTTGAATGTTTAGAAACAAATAGCGGTCACGTTAGATACCTGTAAACGCCGGGTTGATGTCACGTTGCCGTCAAAATTAACTATTCCGGGCGGTCACATCAAACAGATCAGACGTGCTTCCCGGTACATATATATAATATATTTGTATTGCATGCCACTCTCTTTTCTTTATTGACCGGAAATATATATCATATATTAGCTACTGTGTATTCAATTTAATTTCTTTTGATGCGCTAAAGTTAGTGCGTCTTCAGCTTAATTATATTCAACAATAATTGCCTCATTAATGAATGATTAAATTTATTAAAAAAAAAAAAAACCTGCAACTATGAAATAAAAGGTTTTTAAATTTTATTTTTAATACTAAAACAAAGTTGATATATTTGCCCAAAGTCCTTTTAAATACCAGATTAAATATTTCATCTCCATCATAATAGACATATCAAAAATGGAACTCCACAGACAATCCATCCTAAACCAGACCGATGTTTCCTTCTCACTGGCAAAGCAACTCATCTCCACTAATTACAAGGACAAAAACGTCATTTTCTCGCCTTTGTCGATCCACATTTTGTTGGGCATGATTGCGGCCGGGTCGAAAGGCCCGACCCGAGATCAGATGCTGGGCTTTTTTAAGTCCAGTTCTATTGAAGAACTGAACTCGCTCTTGGCGCAGCACGTGACCAAGGTGTTCGCCGACGGTGAGCCGCTTGGTGGACCCTGTTTGTCCTTGGTCAACGGCGTTTGGGTTGACCAGAGTCTCAGCTTTAAGCCCCATTACAAAGAAATTATCCAGAATGGTTACAGGGCTGCTTCTTATCGTGTTGATTTTCTGACTAAGGTTAGTTTTTTTTGTTCTTTTAGTTAGTCCACGTATTTGTCTATGCCTCTTTTATATATAGGGTTATTTTACATGGGGTTATTTTACATATCCCTGCTAACCAAATAAATTAGGGATAAACTCAAGTCCACATCATTCTTTGATATACTCCTAAAAAAATGAAAGTACTATACTACCCTTATATGCAATTTTCGGCTAAACTGCATTCAGCATTTCTGGTCCTTCATTTATCATTTTCGCTGATTTTTTTGTTTAATAAACATGTTTGTTAAATATATGTATGTATATATATATTTATTTATTTATTTATTTATTTATTGAATTTTTTTATTAATTTTTTTTTTTTTTTTATTATTTTCATTTTTTATTTTCAAATCATTAGGTTTACTGTACTTAAAATAACTACATGTAACTGCAGTAAACTATAATACTGCGTAGTTATGTTCTTTTTCTTTTACCCCATATTTTTCGTCCATCAATTATATTCACACACGAATACTGACTTATACAAAAGAAAGAAATTTAGAAATCCCAACAACAAAAAATTACAAATTTTAATATTTATATTATAAATCACCTCATAACCAATAAAATACAAATCGAAATTACACAAATATATGCTTATGTAACTACATGTTACTATAGTAATGTATAGTACTGTATACAGTCTGTTGAACAAAGCAGTTGTAAGTTCAACAAAAAAATTTGACACCTTCAAGGAAAGGATCAATGGCCTTCATTAAGCTGCAGTTGCAAAATCAAAACAAAAAATATATTTTAGTGTAAATCAAAAAAAAAATAAAGAAACAATAAAACATTCAAAAAAACAACAAACACTAAGAGATCGAGAGATAGAGAGAGAGGCCATAGCTGCGAATTTTAGATCAAACCGTCAATGACTCTTCACCCCAAGCGCCTCATAACAAAACCCTTGCCGCTGCTAACCACCAATGATTCCGCGCTCATAAATGCAAACAAATATAGAAATAAATATGAAAATATAAAAATGAATGAAATTTACATCAAAATATAGATCCCGACGAGAGAAATCCAACGGTGGGTAGCCCGTCAAATTCCGACTGGCCAAAAACAAACTACACCTTTGGTAAGACAAACGTCGTCGAAATACGCCGACTAATTAAAAAAATTGCAGAAACAGATCCAACATTCCAAACTGAATGAAATAACCACAAAAAGAAAAAGCTCGATGAGAGAAATCCAACGATAGTTGAACCATCGAATTATGACCACGGGAGAGAGAGTTATGACTCTGGGAAGCAATATCGCCGGTTAGAGACCTTGGGAGGGCGGGATTTGGATCTGGGAATTGAGAGAGGAAAGTAGAGACCGATATGGGTTGGCTAGGGTTTAAAACTGATTTAAAAGGGTATTCTGGGTATTTTAGGGTGGGCTAGGGCGTATGTCAAATTATTATCCAAATGGAGGAGGTTTGCACTAGGGTGTAAACAACATGGTAGTTAATTATATATATTTTCAAAATGAGGGGTCTCTAAAATAATCCCTTTATTTATATTTGGGTTAATTGTATATTGCCACCTGTACTTTGCCCGTTTTTCCACTTTGTCCCCTAAACTAAATAAATTCGTACGCGCACACCCAAATCCACTTTTTTCACGCATATAACCACTTATGGCGAATATTGGGACGAATCTTTTATTTTACCGGCGCACGCACGATACACATGTTTAATGTAAGTGTTTTTTGGTCTTTTCGACTCAAATAATTTGTGGGCCCTGTTTTTTTCACTTCTTCTCCTTCCCTCTCTCTCGCACACGCACACACATACAGACATTCCCACATTGTCATCTTCTTCTTCTCTTCCTTTTTTTTGTGCTTTTTTTTTTTTTTTATCAAGAATCAATCTTTTTGAAGAAACTCCGCGTTTGAGGCTTTGTGAATGTGGCCATGGAAAATCCGTCTGGATGATGTGAAATAGGTACTGAATTTGATGGATCGTTGGATGAAGAAAGAAGTCGTTTTGGGATTTTATTGGTGTTTTTGGAGATGGGTAAAAATAGTGCTTATTTTTGGGATTTTGTTGGTAAGAAGATTTGGGAATTTGGGTAAAAATAGTGCTTACTTCTGTGATTTTTTTCATACTGTATTGTCCAAATGGCAAAGAAAATGCTTGTCGATGGAAAGGTGGACAAACCCAACAAGAGTGAAGAGGAGAGTCACTATGATTTTGATTAGTTTGTAATTGGGAAGGTGGACAAACCCAGTGAAATTAATTGAAATTAGGTCCGGGTTTTCTTTAAATTAATTGAGGGGGAAAAACTCCTATGGAAGAAGAAGAACTAAAGTTTTATTTTAGTTCATTTCGAACTTTAACAAGTTTCAAATTAAGTTCAATCGAGTCCTTGGAACTTTCAATTTCACCCAAATGATATTTTCAGTTGAAAAGACGAAAAAAACCCATGTACTTTGTCATGTGCTTTGCGTGTGCGCCGGAATTGTGAAGATTCGCTAGAATATTCCCTCTGGGTGATTAAATGAGTCAAAATAACGTGTTTGGGTGTGTCCCTGTGATTTTTTTTAATTAATGTGGCAAAGTGGAAAAACAGGTAAAGTCCAG